CAGTTTTGAGTGAATTTCTTAATCCTGAGCTCTAATTTGATTGCACTATGGTCTGAGAGACTGTTTGTTATGATTTCTGTTCTTTTGCATTTGCTGAGGAGTGATTTACTTCCAATTATGTAGTCAATTTTAGAGTAAGTGTGATGTGGTGCTGAGAAGAATGTATATTCTGTGGATTTGGGGTGGAGAGTTCTGTAGATGTCTATTAGGTCCACTTGGTCCAGATCTGAGCTCAAGCCCTGGATATCCTTGTTAATTTTCTGTCACATTGATCTGTCTAATATTGACAGTGGAGTGTTACAGTCTCCCACTATTATTGTGTGGGAGTCTAAATCTTTTTGTAGGTCGTTAAGAACTTGCTTTATGTATCTGGGTGCTCCTGTATTGGGTACGTATATATTTAGATTAGTTGGTTCTTCTTGATGCATTGATCCCTTTACCATTGTGTAACGCCCTTCTTTGTCTCTTTTGATTTTTGTTGGTTTAAAGTCTGTTTTATCAGAGACTAAGATTGCAACCCCTGATTCTTTTTTCACTTCATTTGCCTGGTAAATCTTCCTCCATCCCTTTATTCTGAGCCTGTGTGTGTCATTACATGTGAGATGGGTCTGCTGACTACAGCACACTGATGGATCTTGACTCTTTATCCAATTTGCCAGTCTTTGTTTTTTGATTGGGGTATTTAGCCCATTTACATTTAAGGTTAATATTGTTATTGTGAATTCGATCCTGCCATTTTGATACTAGCTGGTTGTTTTGCCCATTAGTTGATGCAGTTTCTTCATTGTGTCAATGCTCTTTACCATTTGATACGTTTTTGGAGTGGCTGGTACTGGCTGTTCCTTTCCATGTTTAGTGCTTCCTTCCATAGCTCTTGTAAGGCAGGCCTGGTGGTGACAAAATCTCTCAGCAATTGATTGTCTGTAAAGGATTTTATTTCTCCTTCACTTATGAGCTTAGTTTGGCTGGATATGAAATTCTAGGTTGAAAGTTCTTTTCCTTAAGGATGTTGAATATTGGCCTCCAGTGTCTTCTGACTTGTAGGGTTTCTGCCAAGAGATCCACTGTGATGGGCTTCCCTTTGTGGGTGACCCGACCTTTCTCTCTGTCTGCCTTTAGCGTTTTTTCCTTCATTTCAACCCTGGTGAATCTGACGATTATGTGCCTTGCAGTTGCTGTTCTTGAGGAATATCTCTGTGGTGTTCTCTGTATTTCCTAGATTTGAATGTTGGCCTGCCTCACTAGGTTGTGCAAGTTCTCCTGGATAATATCCTGAAGACTGTTTTCCAACTTGGTTTCATTCTCCCCATCACATTCAGCTACACCGATCAAACATAGATTAGGTCTTTTCACATAATCCCATAGTTCTTGGAGGCTTTGTTCATTTCTTTTCACTCTTTTTTCTCTAATCTTGCCTTCTCATTTTATTTCATTGAGTTGGTCTTCAGTCTCTGATATTCTTTTTTCTGCTTGATCGATTTGGCTATTCAAACTTGGTGTATGCTTTGTGACATTCTCGTGCTGTGTTTTTCAGCTCCATCAAGTCGTTCATGTTATTCTCTAACCTGGTTTTCCTAGTTAGCATTTCGTCTAACCTTTTTTCAAGGTTCTTAGTTTCTTTGCATTGGATTAGAACATGCTCCTTTAGCTCAGAGAAATTTATTACCCACCTTCTGAAGCCTGCTTCTCTCAGTTCGGCAAACTCATTCTTCATTCAGTTTTCTTCTCTTGCTGGTGAGGAGTTGTGATCCCTTGGAGGAGAAGAAGCATTCTGGTTTTTGGTGATTTCATCCTTTTTGCGCTGATTTCTTCCCATCTTCATGAATTTATCTACCTTTGGTCTTTGAAGTTAGTGACTTTTGGATGGGGTCTCTGAGTTTACATCCTTTCTGTTGATGTTGAAGCTATTCCTTTTTGTTTTTTAGTTTTCTTTCTAACAGTCAGGTCCCTCTGCTGCAGGACTGCTGGAGGTCCACTCCAAACCCTGCTTGCCTGGGAATCACCCATGGGGGCTGCAGAACAGCAAGGATTGCTGCCTGTTGCTTCCTCTGGTAACTTCATCCCAGAAGGGTACCCAGCAGATGTCAGCCAGAGCTCTCCTGTATGAGATGTCTCTTTGGATACACTTGAGGAAGCAGAGTCTCCCTTTTCAGAGCTCAAGTGCTGTGCTGGAATCTCCGTTGCTCACTTCAGAGCTGCTGGGCAGGGACATTTAAGTCTGCTTATGTGGGACTTACAACCACTCCTTTTCCCAGGTGCTCTGACCTGGGAAGGTGGGCCTTTACTTATAAGTCCCTGACGGGCTGCTGCCTTTTTTCAGAGCTGCCCTGCCCAGCAAGGAGGGAGTCTAATCACAGTCTGCCTGCAGAGACATTGCTGAGCTGCTGTGGGCTCCGCCCAACTGCTGTGTAAACTTCCTTCTGATTTTGTTACACAGGCAAGGTTAGAACTCCCTCAGTAATGGAGGATGCCTCTACCACCATCGAGCTCAGCTGTCCCAGGTTGAGCTCAAACTGCTGTTCTGGCTGCGAAAATCTCAAGCCAGTGGGACTCAGTTTGCTTGTCTTTGTGGGGGTGGGACCCATCGAGCCAGATCACTTTGCTCCCTGCCTTCGGCCCCCTTTTTTTTTTCAGGGTAATGGGTGGTTCTGTCTCACAGGCGTTCCAGGCGCCAGCTAAAAGAGCCACCCAGTTTTGTGCTGGAAACTCGCTGTGCTAGTGTTGGCACTGGCGGGAATCTCCTGGTCTCTGGGCTGTAAAGATTGTGGGAAAAGTGCAGTATCTGAGCTGGAGTGCCGGAGTGCCCAGAAAAGTCCCCAATGGCCTCCCTTGGGTAGGAGGGGGAGTTCTCCAGTCTCTTGTACTTCACGGGTGAGACAACACCCCACCCTGCTTTGGTTTGCCCTCCTTGGGCTACAGCCACTGTCTAGCCAGTCCCATTGAGATGAACCTGGTACCGCGGTTGGAAGTTCGGAGATCACTCACATTGTGCGTGGCTCCCGCTGGGAACTGCACTCCAGAGTTGTTCCTATTCAGCCATCTTGGCAGAAGTCCAGAAACACTCTTATTTTGGTGGTGTGCATGTGTGTGTGGACAGGGTCTCACTATGTTGTGGCCAGTCTCAAACTTCTGGGCTCAAGCAATCCTCCTGCCTCAGCCTCCCAAAGTGCAGGGATTATAAGCAAAAACTTCTGTACCCAGTCAAAACACTGTTTTTTTTTTTTCTTGAAACAGTGTCTCGTTTTGTTGTCCAGGCTGGAGTGCAGTGGTGTAATCTTGGCTTACTGCAACCTTGACATCCCGTGTTCAAGCAATTCACCTGCCTCAGCCTCCTTAGTTACTGAGACTACAAGTACCAGCCACCATGCCTGGCTAATTTTTCTATTTCTAGTAGAGACAGGATTTCACCATATTGGCCAGGCTGGCCTCAAACTCCTGACCTCAAGTGATCCACCTGCCTTGGCCTCCTAAAGTGCTGGGATTACAGTTATGAGCCACCATGCCTGGCTACAGACAAAGCACTTTCTAAATTGAAGAGTTCTGTGCAAATGTAAAAGCCAGTTTTTAAAAGTCTAATTCTGTTAAATCAGATTGTAATAAGATCCTCAGTGTGTACAATTATCAGTTTATCAGTTTCCTTTATTATAAGAGAAGAGGTCTGGTGGTCCTCATTTCATACCTCTCAATTTTAAAACTGTAGGAGTCTCAGTAGCCCAGGTAGATACATTTTCTAATGTAAAAGGAGAAAGGAGGTATTATTTTGTACCTTCAAAATAGCAAACTTGGAATGGCTCCAAACATGAATTATTCATCAGATTCTCCTTCCTTTTACAAAAAAGCTATGTTGGTAAATGAATAGTGGTGGGGATTGTAGTGCACTTACATACCAAAACCTCACTTCCTTTGTATACATCTCTGGAAGTTAACATGTTGATTTGCAGGGCTGCTATCCTGCCTTTCTCATACATGTTAGTGCAGTAGTGTTGAATCTCTAGGCCAAGGCTGGTTTATCTACAAGGTCTTTTGTAGTCTTAACATATTCTTTTCAATGATTCTGCTCTGTGGATTGATAAAAGAATTACTGTTGGCAGCCTAGTTTACAAACAGCTCTAGAAAACTGTTTATTGGACTGAAAAGATGAAAATGATTTCTTAAATGTTATTGTCAACCCTCAGGACTGGTACTTCTCATAACAGAAAGCAATTAGATTCTCACTGTTTGTTATGCTGTTGATGGTGATAGATTCTTTAAAAATAGAAAACCTACAATTGGCTTTAGAAGTTTAAGTTGTGGCCAGGGATGGTGGCCCATGCCTGTAATTGTAGCACTTTGGGAGGCTGAGGCAGGAGGATCGCTTCCGGCCAGAAGTTTAAGAAGAGCCTGGGCAATAGAGCAAAACCGCATTTCTACAAATAAAAAAATTAATTGGGTGTGGTGGCATACACTGTAGTCCCAACTATTTGGGAGACAGGCAGGAGGATCTCTTGAGCCCAGGAGGTTAGAGCTATGATCGTGCCTCTGTACTTCCAGCCTTGGTGACACAGTGAGACCCTGTCTCTAAAAAAAGAAAAAAAAGTTTTAAGTTGTAACAAGAGTGTCTGGGTTGAATCATTGTACTGTATCTTCTAAATCCCTGCATTGGGGCTCCCAAGTACTTTAAAATGGAACACTTTTTAAGATCATACAGGTCATTATAAATCGCTTCACCTGTTGTTAGGCTCTTTAGACCAGTAAGAATGATTACATAATCATTTTCATTCATTTCTTCTTGAGAAATAATATTCAAATAACCAAAAGAGAGAAGAAAGAGAAAAATACAGAAATAGCTGATTATTCAGGAATAAACCTAAGGAAATTATTACTTGAGATGCTTTACTCCAGCTTGTGTTGTGCCTGCTTGTGTGAGAGGTCCAAGCCTGTGTATGTTAGATTTATCATTGAAGGTGAAGATGTTGCTGGCCTATTCAGATTGATAACATACATTTCTCCCCCACATCTAGCTACGTGGTGAACATGGGTCTGATTGACAAACTGTGTGCCTGCTTCCTCTCGGTGCAAGGCCCAGTGGATGAGAATCCCAAGATGGCCACATTTCTGCAGCATGCCACGGGACTCTTACATGCTCTGTGCACACTGTGCTTTGCTGTCACTGGAAGGTAAGGCATCTACTTGATCTCAATCTAAACTCAACTTTTGGAATATCTCTTGAATTTTGCCAATTCCTGGGTCATTTCATAGGGATTCAAGTGGTGATCTTGGCCATCTTACCTCTTTGTTCTTTCTCCATCATTGGCTTTCTTTATTGAGAAGTATATTAATTTCTTATTATTCTGGGCCACATACTCTTGACAGAGTCTTTTTTTCTTCTTGGTGTCATAAATTTGACTATCACTGCTAGAAGGGACCTAAGAAGCCATCCAGTCCCTCTTCCACTGAGATCCAGAGGAGTCCAGTGATTCTTCTTCAGTCATTGAAGGAAACAAAGTCTAAAGCAGACCAAGCCAAGCCCTCAGCCCTGCACAGCACCACCTGAAAGTGCTCATTACCGTTGCTCATGTGCTTTCAGTTATAGGCTCCTAGGTTTATTCATTTTCCTTCTGTCCCTTCTTCCAGAATACTTCCATGAATAAGGGAAGGGAGCCATCCAAAAACAATAGATCTCTGAAGTCACACATGACCCAAGGGCATGGTGAAAGCCAACGTGCCAGGGACTACTACTGGCCTGGTTGGCTGTTTACCCCACCCCATCTTACCCCATCCCACCCTGTGAGCTGTCCTTAAAAACAGTAATTCTCTGGAAGGACACAAGTAACCCTCTGGGTCTTCTTTTCCTCTCCCCCACCCATCCCTCACCAAGTAACAATTGTTTATAATAGTGCCTCAGCTTTTCTGACAGGAATATGACATATCCCCTAAGCATATTGAAGATGTTCGGTCAAATAATTTTGTTATAGTTAAATTCTAAACAGCACTTATATGTATTGCATATTTTTTAAATTATGTATTTTGTATTTTTAGGAATTTGTCAAGTTGAAGCATCTAAAGTCTAGCTTCTTAAGGAAGTATTATCCATTTATATTCAATGTTCAGAGAATACCAATGACTATATTCAGAACATTTTAAGAGAGGGAAACTGTATTCTGAAATGAACATCCTCAACATTTTTTAGTTCATTATACATAGGACCCCTAAACCCACCTATCCTTCCTTACTCTTACCCAGTCCCTCACCGTCAGTCACATTCTAATAAAATTAAGACTGTCTAGAGATGTCAGGGAAGCCAAGCATGGCCTGTATGCAGTGTTTCAAGTTAATCTCTTCCCATCACAAAGTGTAGACAAAGCCCACCTTCAGTGAGAGCTCAGGAAGTGACTGTTTGTGGGTGTCTGACCTGAGTAGGATCAGGTAGCACCATACCACACAGAAGCTGGTATACCAAACACTGTCCATTTGGAACAGTGGCACCTGCCAGCTTGGAGGCCACCACGCTGCCCAGCTAGTTCCTGTGCAATGGCCAGGCCCCTCCCTGGAGATTTTCCTCTCAGGCAGGAGACTGACCCTGTCTCTTTTTGAACACACAGCATTACATTACAAACCTACCAGCATCTCAAGTCTGCGTCACCTGTATTTTCTTGAATCCAGATGAATATCACAAACATAAGCACATATGTGATTGTTGTACAGCCTGTGGGCTTCAGGTTTCACGTACACACGGATTCAGTCACTTGAAATCTATGGAATTTAAAAGAAACCTAAAGGTCATTCACAGTCACTTGTTTTTATAGGAAAAGCAACTGAGCCAAACTGCCTTGAATCACGACCTGAGACTTCTGGCTTGGTGCTCCTTCCATTTGACTTTATGTTATATAAATATAAAGTCAATCCAGGAATCCAGAATCCAAGAGTCCAAGACAAGTGGAAGGAAAAACTCAATTGAGAAAAAGGGCATGATATGTATATTATGTGGTATACCAGATGTTATGGTGCCCTTGGTTCACCTGGAGGTCATCTGCCAATGGCTTCCTGTATTTCTCTGCCTCAGGACATTCTCTGGAGAAGGAACTATTTACTAGAGTGCAGAGGAGTTAAACACCTCCGGTAGTGACCCTCAAACAATAAACTGGTGGATAATACACCTACTTCCCTAATATTCAGTAGTACAATCCTGAGTATATTCTGTACAGTTCTCACAGGGTCCTCAGCCCTAACCTGTTGTTTGTTTGTTTTTCTGTTTGTTTGTTTTGAGACTGAATCTTACTCACTCTGTCACCCAGGCTGGAGTGCAGTGGCACTACCTCAGCTCACTGCAACCTCCACCATCCATGTTCAAGCGATTCTCATGCCTCAGCCAGCTGAGTAGCTGGGATTACAGGTGTGTGCCACCACTCCTGGCTAATTTTTGTATTTTCAGTAGAGATGGGGTTTCACCATGTTGGCCAGGCTGGTCTCAAACTCCTGACCTCAGGTGATCCGCCCACCTCAGCCTCCCAAAGTGCTGGAAGTATAGACGTGAGCCACCATGCCCAGCCTGTAACCTGTTCTTCAACAAATATTTGATTGAGTTTTCTTCCTCCCCTGTTTCTCTTCTCTACATCCTCACAAACAATCTGTTTGCACCCATATTGTTTTTCAGGATCTACTTTTAGGGCAGTCCAAACCAAGAGATACGGACACAGAAGCCTTAGTGTCATGCTCAGTTCATTCTCTAACCTCAATTGCTTAGCAAACTTCTATTGTGCAATTGGGCAACTGTGGAGAGGACAGGAGATGAGGTATTAAATAAACTCCATCCATGTTGTACTCGGGAGGCTTGGAGGGCTACAAGAGCTAGACTAGAGCTGTCGAAGGCTGTTGAAATTGCTTGAGAGGGAGGACGGGATCAAATTTCTGTTACAGAATGATCACCCCTAAGAAGCACAGGGATAACTGAAATGGCACAAGCCTAGAGGCAGAAGGATTAGTAAAGAGGCTCTTGCATAATCCAAGTGAGACATGTGGAGGGTCTGTGAGGTCAGTGAACATAGAGATGAGCAAATACATTACGAGGGAGTAGAACAAATGTAGGGGAGATGGCATAGGGTTTCATGGTGTGGGAGGTGAAAGGAAGGGAAGAATCTAGAATGACTCCCAAGTTTCTGACTATAAAATTTTGAATGGTAGGTATCATAGTCTCCAAATTTGGAAATATAAACAGTTTTTCATAGTGGAAATATAAGCTTGGTCCTAAACATGCCTAAGGATTATTATGTATGATATAAGACGATCATATACATATATGTATAAACTTTGGTCTACTTGGATAATCTTCAGGCATGCCTAGGAACAAACTTATGTTTCCACAAAGAAAAACTGCTTATATTCTCAAACTTGGGGACTATACTGTCTACCACTCAACATTTTATATTTATTATATATTTATACATCTGATTAGTTATTATATATATGAAATATAATGGCTTCTATGTGCACATACAACTGGATTTTAAATAAATCAATGATTTACGCTTGATGGTTTTTAAGGATTCTGAATCTATTTTTCTCCATTATAATTTCCTTCTCTAACCTCAATTGCTTAGCAAACTTCTATTAGTTGGACTTACTATGAAAACAGATTATTCTAGAAAAAAGATCCAGGTGGTTTCCTGGCTTAATTTGCTTAGGAAATTCTTAGTATCAGTGTAAGCTGCTTCTCTGAAAGAGCTGAGAAAAATGACCCCTCATTGTTGTTCTTCCTCTCATCCTTCAGTCTCCCAACATTTATCTCCTGAACACCACCAGACCACAGGAATACAGGGAGTTTTTTCTACCTCCTCAGATTTGTTTACTTCTGATATTTACAGATTGTTTTATCCTGCTTATTTCTTCATGAAAATTATATTTCTAAACTATAAATGACAGTGACAAGCATTTTGTTACATGCATTAAATACAGTTTCTGCTGTAGCCATGTCTAAGAGGAAACGTATTATGGTTTTTGCTTTATTGGAGTAATTCACATAATGTCTATTTTGGCTACCAGAAGCCAACCAGCTCCAGAATCAAGGAAGGCTTTGTCCTCATAGCCCTTTTGTGACTAGCAGGAATGAAAGAGGGAGAGGAACTAGAGAGGGCTTCAAAAATTGCCTCTTGGGATGGCAGAGCCTGAGATAATTAAGGGGACTAATTCATAGCACGGGCTTTGAGTAAACACTGCAGTTTGCCGGTGGCCCAGCCTTTGTGTGACGGTGATTATCCCTAGTCTGCCTTTCCACTGCTCTCCTATTGTGTCCTTAATCTTCTAATTTTTACCTAGGTTTTGTTTCTTCTATTTTCTTTTTTTTTTTTTTTTTTTTGAGACAGAGTCTCTCTCTGTCGCCCAGGCTGGAGTGCAGTGGCGTCAGCTCAGCTCACTGCAACCTCCGTCTCCTGGGTTCAAGCAATTCTCCTGTCTCACCCTCCAGAATAGCTGGGATTACAGGCGCTTGCCACCATGCCTGGCTAATTTTTGTATTTTTAGTAGAGACGGGGTTTCACCATGTTGGCCATGCTGGTCTCAAACTCCTAACCTCAGGTGATCCACTCACCTCGCCCTCCCAAAGTATTAGGATTATAGGCATGAGCCACTGCGCCCAGCCAAATTTTTACCTAGGTTTTCCGAAAAACAATTTGGGCGTCAGAATTTGTGCTGTTACTCTTTGCTTCAACTTGGGGTAGAATAGCTGATGACTTGTACCACGGTTAGTTTTGAACAACGAACTTGCATTTTTTTAAGTTAAAGTTGAAATTCTGATCCTCTAATGAAAGGATTGATTTTATGTCAGAATTACTCCAGAATTTTAGTTTTGTTAACAAATGATTCTTAATCACTTAAGCAAAATTCAATAATCTGTAATAGGACTCTCAGAGATGCCTATTTCTGGCCAGGTGTGGTGGCTCAGGTAATCCCACCAAGGTGTGGTGGCTCAGGTAATCCCACCACTTTGGGAGGCCAAGGCGGGCAGATCACCTGAGGTCAGGAGTTCAAGACCATCCTGGCCAACACAGCGAAACCCCATCTCTATTGAAAGTACAAAAATTAGCCAGGAGTGGTGTCAGGCACCTGTAATCCCAGCTCCTTGAGATGCTGAGGCAGGAGAATCGCTTGAACCCAGGAGGCAGAGGTTGCGGTGAGCCCAGAT